TACCTATTAGTTATATCACAGTCTAGTAAAAGTGTAGTCAGTTGTAGCTTACTTCCTTTCGCGCTCGAGGCCATTGGGTTTGCCTGTACATGATGTTACTTGGAACCCCCTGAACCTCCAAGTATGCCTAAGTTCTATTAATTACCCGTACTATTATGGTGGGTTTCTGATTATGAAAATACTAGTATGATATGCCCCAAAACCCTGTCCGCTCCACACCAAAACCCTATTCAAATTATGTAAGGCCCCTATAGTCGCTCTTCCATATTGTTTGGGTGTCTCTGTTGGGTTTAGGGTTTAGGGTTCAGGGGGCTTCCATTCCAAAACGACCACGAGGAATAAGAATCCCTGATTCAGGGGCCGGTAGGAGAACTCGAATTAGGGCTTGTTTAGTTGTCTTCGCCGGAAGGCCTTGAAGAAACCTGTAACTGTAGCCCTTAGTTATACATCCCTTATGAGGAACGCTTTAAACTTCAAAGGAGCCCCGACCGAGGTCAGTGGTCGAGAACCGCGAACGGCACAAAGGTGCCGCTGGGGGCTTGAGAACCACGGTAGGGGGTCGGAAATAGGGTTTCGTGTTTTAGGAGTTTGGATTTAGGGCTGTGTTGCCGTGTCAGCTTCGGTTTGGCATCATAGGATTGACAGGGACCCCCTGCTGGGGAATCAAACGAATTCCTCTGGGGGGAGTCTTCAGTGACTGCAAGCAGACCCTGTTTTTCAGGCACGTCGGGAGGGCTTTCTCAACGGCAACTCCCCGACGATTATGGTTTGTCATGCTGTTAGGATCGGGTCTACGAGCAGTAGCTTTGGCACCGGTGGGAGCAGGGGTAGGAGCGGGCGTACCCTGCGAAGTTGAGAAAGTCCATGTAGCTCTCTCATGAAGTGAGACATGGCTAAGTGGACAGGCTTCCCCGAAAGCCATTGGCGCTCCAGCTCAGATAGCTTCGAGTAGTCCTCCCTGTGAACCCGACGTCGGCCTCGCCAAAGTCTGTATGGTCTGCTTAACATTAATATTCATATTACATTATGATTCTGATTAACATTAACATTCATATTACATTATGATTAATATTCGCATTGCATGAATACTTTATATAGATGCAACCCGAGCACAATTGAAAGTATTAACGCCCCTCTATCTCAATCATAGTGCGGATCCCCTATAATTGAAGCTGCCTAAACCACAAACCACACGCTAAAACTTGAAACCCTAAATCGACGACTCTAAACCCTGATTCCTTAGTCGAGGATCTTTTAGGAGTCTTTGGGCCAATCCGAAAGGGAGCGCTACTGGCCTGGAGAAGCCCCAAAGCCAAGGGTCACCTCGAGGTGACGGGTCCTTCGCTTAGTATTGAGCCCATGACCCCACACCCTATAAGCCCTAAACCTCTAAACCCCCAAAACCTACCTTTGTAAGGACTTATACAAAGAGTTCATAATAAGGAACCCTAAAACAGTAGGTTCTTTGGGGTCCAGGTAAACGTCTAAACCCCCAAAACGTAAAACCCTGATCCCTGTGGGCAGTACTTGAGCTCTGAGGCCGTAGCGGGCTCAGAGGATGCTAGAGGCAATGGTCAAAGCCCCCAAACGAGTAGCAGTAGCAAGACTAGTCCTTCGGGCGGCCGAAACCCTGATGCCTACTTGGAGGATCAGGGGACTTAGTAAGTAAGGTTATAGGTACCCTAATTGGGGTAATATGCTCTAGTCACGCTGTCATATGCCCGAAGCCCTTTTTTCCAATCGTTAAAGCCTGTATTTGGGGCTTCACGGTTTCCCTAAACCCTAAACCCTAACCCCTAAACCCTAAACCCAAAGCCCCCAAACCCATAAACCCTAACCCCCAAAACCCTGAACCTCTAAACCCTAAACCCTGAACCTAAACCCCAAACCCTAAAGCCTAAACCATTCACCCTAGGGTTTGGGGTTGTCGGCAACAGTTTCGCCGGTCATAGGGTTCGGGTCTTGGCACTCTCAAAGGGTCCAAGTATCATTATCGTATATACTCATACGTATTCTAAGGATCTAAGTTATATACCATAATGATACTTGGACCCTTTGGCACTTTGGATTCCAGACTGAGGAGTGGAGGAAGTGAGCCCTTCATATAGGCGCCTGGTTTGGGGTTTAGGGTTTCGGTTTAGGGTTTAGGGGCCTGAAGAATTACTTATACTGTTTTGGGGGTTCCTTACTATAGTTATAGTATCAGGTAGCCCAACATCCTAGTCTAATTATTAAGGCCCCTGCGTTACCCCGATAAGCTTCAAAGCGTAGCACGTGCTGTTTTCGAAGACTGCGCCAGTCAGCAGGTACCGGTTTGGCATAGGGTTGACTTCCCCTGATGGTTTATTATATATATATATATATATATGGCACCCTTATTGGATAGTTGTGATGGTGGCTATTGGGGCAGGCACCTAGGCCAACGTTGAAGGCCCGTTGTAGACCTCTGTAGACAGAGGTCGAGTATGAATATACTATAACATACTGTAATGTACTGTAGTAGACTGTAAGGGGTTATACCGTCATTTACCACCCAAAAAACATTCGAATTATTAAGGACACTGTAGTCTGGAACGTTATAGTACCCTTTAAAGGGACCCTGCTATCGATCTCTATACTACCCTGTACAGGACCCTTGTTATAGATCCCTATGGTACCCTTCAAAGGATCTTTGTTGGAACTTTTAAGGCCACTGTATTAGCAGTGGCACTATACTAGACTAGACCATACTATAACATACTTTAACATACTACTGGTTTGTTATTATCTTACACTAGAATGGCATTCTAATTATTAAGGCCCCGGTAGTAGCAGTGGCGGGCCTTCGCCTGAAGTTGTCCTCGGCGCGAAACTTCACAAGCAGCCTGCGGTGGTGAAATGACAGATTTAGGGTCCAGGTCAGTTTCAGGTTGAGGGGTTGGGTTTTTTTGGGTTTAGCATTTAGGCCTTCGGGTTTAGGGTTTAGGGCCTAGGGTTTTTCAGGGTTTAGAGCTTAGGCTTAGGGCTTTAGGGTTTAGCGGTTTAGGCTGTAGGGGGAGTGGGAGAGGGCATCCGATAGTCCCTATCTAATCCTGTTTTGTAGCCTTCACCACCAGTAGGCGTAGGGTCTCGGGGGGTTCGGGCTGAGGGCTTGTAGAACTTTAGGAGTGTAGTCATGGATTCTCGCCTCTTGCGTTGGGTTTCCGACTTGAAACTTGACATAAAAGATGAGTCATACTGTAGCTTCGGGCTCCCTTCTGTGGACTACGACACTAAACCCTAAGCACGAAACCGTGGCTCATTACGAAGCCCAGCACTGCCTGTAGGCTTCATTGTACTTCGACTTTGGGTTCAACCAGCTGCCAACTTAGGATCTTCTAACGTAAGCCCCACAGAGGAACTACCTGGAGGATCATGGGACTTAGTAAGTAAGGTTGTAAGTACCTGAATTGGAGTTATAAGTAATTATAAGTATAGCTACCTTACTTAGATCCCTAATTACGAAGTCCCATGATCCTCGAAGTACCGAGGAGACCACCAGAGGCGTGGTCTAAGAGTAGGCCGCTCAAAAGCAACATACTACAATGTACCCGTATGGGAGTTTCCGAAAATTAGTGGTACCATATTTGTTGGGGGGGTCCCTATAATAGGGATCCTGCTATATTAGGGTCCCCTCTTTTCGGAAACTCCCGTATACTATAATATACTAGAATATGCTGTAATATACCCCAAAAAACCTGATGCTAAAAATGTTCAGGCTACTGTAGTATGGGCCAAAGTGTTTTATCTCAGGCATCCACAAGACTTCTATGTTTTCGCTTGCAACTTAATCTACGCAGAGTATGAGGTGATGTCGGATTGAAACCCTATAAAAGCCTCAATCACAAGGACCTTTAAGGGGGCAGGGGGAGGGGGTAGGCGTCCTTTCTGAGATAGCTGTGCACGGCTTGGAGTCTAGGATTTATTTTTCAGTTTAGGGTCTTGTTGAGATCGACGGAGTTGGGCTCAGGTTCTCGGTTTTGTCGAGCTCTAGTTTGCCATGGGTTCCACTCCGACAGCAATTGCAGCTCCAAATGGAAGTTTCCGAAAATTGCGGGTACCTTATTTTGGGGTCCTTATAATGCGGATCCTACTGTTTGGGGTACGACATTAGGGTCCCCCAGTTTCGGAAAGTCATGGGTTCAGCCTTCAAAGCTTTCCCTAAGGGTCCATGTACCCAAATAGTATATCTTTGGGCCCATCATACCCATATAGGGAATACTTTAAGGCCAATGTATATACTATTTAGGTACATGGACCCTTAGGGTTTCCTAAACCCATTGAGAAGGTCTTGCAAGAAATCATACAACAAATCTTCACAAAATGCCAACCTCAAACCTTACTCAGCTTGCGTTTGTCCCCCTGCAGCTGTGTAGGCTTCGATTAGCGTGTAGTCGGAGCATACGTCGGCGCCCCTTCTTATTGCCTCTTCAAGTCCTTCGTGAAGGATCCCTCAGGGGCTGGGGAGCGCGTTGCTTGGGTTCAGGGTTTCAGGGTTTTCGGGTTTTGGTTTTAGGGTTTTAGAGTTTTAGGGTTTAGGGTTTAGGGTTTGAGGGTTTTGTGGTTTAGAGGTTGAGGGTTTTAGGTTTCAGTGTTTGATTGTTGGAGATGGGTCGTTGTGGGTTGGGTTTTGGGTCCATGGCTTGTCATGGTGAAGGTGTCATTGGGTCCTGCAGCGGTGGCCTGAATAATTACCCATACTATTTGGGGTTCCTTATTATAATGTATAGTAGTAGTAGTAGTAGTAGTAGTAGTAGTAGTAGTAGTAGTAGTAGTAGTAGTAGTAGTAGTAGTAGTAGTAGTAGTAGTAGTAGTAGTAGTAGTAGTAGTAGTAGTAATAGTAGTAATAGTAGAAGAAGTAGTAGTAGTAGTAGTAGTAGTAGTAGTCGTAGTCGGAGAATATACACCCAAAGCCTTGTTCTAGTTATTAAGGCCCCCTCATTATTGTGCTGATGAAGCCGCCAGGACGAGAGCGTTTTCACATGCAGCAAGCAGCGAATCCGTGCGATTTGTGGCATGGCAGCAGGGGCTGCGGACGTCTGATTGTTGCAAGTTTCCGATGGTTCCGTATTATACTACTCATGGTATTATGATTATTAATGCAGGGGTTCCGGTCGTGTGACTGCAATACATTCACGACGGCCCTGATGGTTCTGCGGTATACTTACGGCATGGTGTCATGTACTACCAAACCCTTTCTTCACTATCCAGGTCTTTTCAACAGATTGCAAACGCTGAAGCCTAAAGCCTAAACCCTAACCCCATGCATGCTTAAAGAGATCACGATGTCACGAGGTCAGCCCAGCCGATCAGCATGGAGGAGTCCCGAACGTCGAGGAGCAAGGACAAAGTGAAGCCGGACAAGCACCAAAGAGCAGCCATACAGAGCCTGGAAGGAGCAGATGTGTTGCAGTTGCTTCTACAGCAGGTCTTTGAGCGTGCTTCTTCGGATGGGGTACTTATCGAGTCTTTCTACCTGCAGCAGCAGATCCACTGGGAGATCGAGAAATACTCCAGTCCGCGTCTTTCATCACCCCAGACAATGAGGACCATGAGGAATCTGCACAAGCTCCTCTCTCGCATGATCTTGAAGCAGATGATTCACTTTGTCCGGCATAGCCCTGTTTGTGACAGCTTCCTCGACAATGTGCAGACACAGATGGCTTCCTTTACGGTAGGCAATACGATTGACGTCAACGATGTGAGGCTTGCCAAGTCTGTATGGCTGTAGTTTTCTTGAAGTCGCTATCGCCATTTCGGACGCAAAGCCTGAAACTCGTTTTTTTTTTTCTGGTGCACCTGTTTCAGGGGTGTTGATTGATGCACGCCCGTGTGTGGCAGCGTGTGCCTTTGCATTTACTGTTTCGAGACTCGGTTGGAGCTGGCGGACACGCCACCCCCCCTTAAAGAATTAGATAACTCAATCCCTGAGTTGGCAGCAGATGCACGAACAGGTCATGAGGCTTCATTTTGACGGGGCGGGGGAGGGGGAGGGGGGACTCGCCCAAAAATCTACAGGGCTCCGACATCCGAGTCTCCCACCGGTCCCACCGGTGCTTGCCCGGTCAGTGTGTTTAAGTCATGTCGCACCCTTACAGCTCTAACTTTAAAGTGCCCGTGGCCGCGTGACTGAAATCAGTCAGCGTGCAGATTCTTCTGGATCGTATACAAAAGCTCTTGACACAGAGGCAGGCGTTCAGTTCAGCGCTTACAGTTTAACTTTGGTCGTCAGGACGGTTGATGGTATAAAACCCGCATTACCTTAACGACCCTAAACTATGGGAATTCTGCTATATTCCCGATTATGGGTCATGCAGGATGTTTATAATTTACCCTAATATAGTACCCTAGATAGTAGGATCCTACTTCTAACAAGGACCCCAAAAGAAGGTACCCCTAATTTTCGGAAGCTCCCTTAGACCCTAAACCCCATAGGTCCATCATAGGATCCCTGAAAGGATCCCTTATAGGATCCCTTTAAAGGTACCCCTAATTTTCGGAAACTCCCATGTAGAGCGCCAGGGTTCGTCAGCGTCAATGGATGAACGAGATTTTGACCGCCGCTCACATGAGTTGCTACTTGGAGGTTCAGGGGTTGTTATAAGTGGGGTTATAAGTCCCCTAATACGGGTTATAAGTATAGCTACCCTAGTTATAGTCCTAC